GCCTGAGAATCAGAGGACAGAGCCAGCTACTAGATTAGACATAGAGGCCAGGCAGTGGTGGCACACACCTTTAATCCCAGTACTTGGGAGTCACACGCCTTTAATCCCAGTACTTGGGAGTCACACGCCTTTAATCCCAGCACTTGAGATCTCATGCCTCTGCTACCAGTAATGGGGAAGCACAGACGCTTTTGATCCCAGCACTAGGAAGGAAGTGAAACGGCTGGGTGGAGAGTGGTATAGAAGGCGTGAGAAGACAGAGGATTTGTGGAGATAGGATCTCGCCTTCCATTTGGCCTGAGGATTTGGTAGTGGTAAGAAGTTTCTCCAGTGGCTTTTTCCTTTGTCTGTCTAATCTTTCAGCATTGGCCCTGGTTTTTATTAAAAGGCCATTTAAATTTTGAGCAACAGGGGTGGGTTCCTATTATCTGTGAATGGTAGGTAAGGTCAAATGCAGGAAAATCTGCTATAAATATTCCAGATGCTATGTCTAGAGAGGCACACTAAAATAGCTTCGTCTGTCCTGTCCTGCCTGCCTGCCTGCCTGCCTGTCTGCCTTCCTTCTTTCTTTCGCTTGAGATACAATGTTATACAACCACAGAGCACAGTGCGTAGACATGTGAGAGACAAGGGCTGAATGGCTAGACGTTCAACAGTGTCTGTCTTTTGGGGTGAAAGAAGGGTGGCTCTTGGCTCCGAGCTTCTGGACAAGCATTTTAGAATCCCACATCTGCCATCTGATCCCTTTCCAGAGCTTTCTTTCTCCGTCCATTTTGGAAGCGAGCTCGCACAGATCTGCAGTGAACGCAGTGAACAGAGTATCCTAAAGCAGGGAATGCTGGGACACAGTCGGTCATGCTAACAGACACCACCCAGTCTTCCACCCCGCCTTCCACCCCACCACCGCCCACCTGCTTGAACTTGATTGGATGTAGAGGGATTGGATGGGCTGTGCTACCCGCTGTCACTCCACGTGCTTGTGTGAACCTGTGCGCTTTGGAGATGGTGGCTCTGTAACTTCTCCTCTCATCTGATGCTTTCTGCCACTGCCAGATCCTCTCATCTCTGTCGACTCCCTGCTTAAGCCGGATGATGAAAATTCACAGCTGAGGCTGAGAACTGAGGGAAATTTTTCTCACCGGAAACACCCTATAAGGCATTGGGCTTTCCCAGGTCAGAGTTAGAAGAATGAGAACCAATAAATAGACGTTCCCTCCCTGGAAACTACGAGATCCTTGAGGATGGGGCGGTGGGATTCCAATTGCCAACCTTGAGGGCCCCTAGGGCTGACTCCCCAGAGCTCCTCATTAGAGGCACACATGCTAACCATCCTTTGTTCTTAGGAACCCTGGACTCGGAGATCCTCCAAGATGAAAAGGACAGTTCGGTGTTCAGACTTGGACACTCGACTCCGTTTTTCTGAATTTATGTCTCCATCTGAGAAATATGAATTTGCAGAAGGTGAACAAAGTTCAGTTTCATGACATCAGAGCTTTTTTTCTTTTACCGTCTTAGACAGGATCTCACATAGTCTGAGCTGTTCTCAAACTCACAACATAGATAGCCAAGGATGACCTAGAACTGTTGACTTTCCTGCCTCCATCCCTCCAGGACGGGCATGATAGGCATGAGCGCCACACTTGGCTTTACATGGTACTGGGGATGAAACCCAGGGCTTCGTGAATGCAAGACGAGAGCTCTACCAACTGAGCCGTGTTCTCAGCCCTCCGTGTCTTTATTATTTCATAAACCTATGATCCCACAGTATATCCAGTGTTTGTTTATTTCTATCAAGTACATATTTATAAAACCGATTCGATCTTATATAAATATCTGTTTGCCAAACTGTATTCTTGGACTGAGTTCTCTGAAGGAGGCAATCACTTAGTCTCGTGGTATCATGGGGTGGCCATACCGAATTTAAGGAAAGGTTCCACAATTTAGAGCCAAATTAGTCTTGGTCTTCTCTGCAGGATTCAAAGGGGCTCCTGGCAGAGGTGGGGCTCTTGTTGGGGAGGCATTCTTCCCAGGGGATGGAATCTGTAGCTTTGGTGAAAGCCAGCTCCTCTTCATAGTAGGGGAAGCCTGGGTCTCTTCTAAGCTGCCTGTCCTTGAGTCCCCCCTGCCAGGGGCCCCTGCCAGGCCCCCCTGCCAGGCCCCCCCACTCTCACTTCTGCTGGGAATCCAGCTGCTGAGCATTAAGCAAGACCAGGGGCCTGACTTCCCTGCCTTTGATGTATGGCCGGCTCTGCTCATTCTCCAGGGCAAAGCTGCACACGAGACTGTTCCTGCACTGGGTCTTACCCTCACTGTCCTCTCAGGCCCATATCACAACACAGGTCCCCAGCCCTGTGTCCATTGTAAACCTGATGAAATTGAATGTCACAGAACGTCACAGCAGCCTTGCTCTGTACACTCTGCTAATTACTTTGGCTTTCTTCTGAATACCCCTAAGCCTTCAGGATTAAGGTTCAATTTACCAATTTATACTGAGAAACTAATGACTAAAAATAGAAAGCCAGTTCTGTGTTTTAATCTCTGTAACAGTTCATCTATCCCCCAGCATAGAAAACCAGAAGCTTCTAGAGAAAAAGTGAACAAGCTTTTTGCATTCCACTGTGGGTTTTCCAAGGAAACCTGAAAGGCTAAATTAGCAATCCCCTTGTAAACACTTTTTTTCCATTATAAAACACATTTTTTGAGATTTGTTTTATTTTAATCTTTATGTGTATGAATGTTTTGCCTGCATGTATATCTGTGTACCACATGTGTCTGTAGTACCCATATCGGCCAGAAGATGGCGTTATATCTCCTGGAACTGGAGTTATAGGTGATTATGCACTGCCATGTGGGTCCCTAGGATCAAACCTGGGTCCTCTGCAAGAGCAGCCAGTGCTCTTAACTGCTGAGCCATCTCCCCGGCCCCTATAAAGCTTATCTTTCACTTAGAGATGGCAACTGTGATTTTTTTTAAAGTCTTCCTTTTAGCCTCATGGTATATGTTGAATTCCTTCCTAATTAGTCTTCATAAGACCATATCATTTTTCAAAGTAATTAAAAAAAATTTAATGGCAATGGAAATTTAGCCCCCCTCTCTACAAAGTCTTTGAGAGACAAGGAGAGTGAAGATTTGTATTCTCAACCCTGAGACCAGTCATCACTAAAATCCACGAAGTTCCTTCCACTGACTGAGGTGGGTGGGGAAGTACCTGTAGCAGGATTCGAACCAGGGACCGGGGATCCACGGGGACAAAGTGCTCTTTGCAGGAGCAGAGTCCCCTCAGTTCTGCTGTGGGTCTTGTTAGGTCACAGGTTCTGATGCAGTAGAAAGGTGAGGCCCAAGATATTGGCCCTGAAAAGCTCTTGTGTGCTGCTGCTGTGGCTCTCTGGACCATATTGTAAGTGTGAGACCCTGAGGACTGGGGCCCGTGAGGTGGCTCGGTGGGTTAGGATACTTGTTGCTGAGCTTGAAGGTCTGAATTTGATCCCTCAGACTCACAGGTTAGAAGAAGAGAGTCCACTCCCCACAAATTATCCTCTGACCTCCATGTATATACCACTGCATCTGCGTGTGTGTGTGTGTGTGTGTGTGTGTGTGTGTGTGTGTGTGCATGTGTGTGCGCACACACATAAACAATAGTGGTAATAAGTTAACTAATCTTTAAAAAGGACCTTGATCCTGTTTGAGTAGTCACGATGGTTTTAAGAGCTGTGTTTGAGGACTTAGTCTGACCTTGGGAATCAGAGTGGCTTATAATGGCAGTGAGTTCTGAAGGGACTCATCTGTCATCAGTTAGGTGCCCTGAGAAGCCAGGACTTTATGGAGGGGTGTGGGTGGGAATCATATAGTGTGGATGCAAAGTCCTGGATAGCAAAGAGTCCCCCAGTTTCAATGTGTCCCTAATGTCTGTCCCTAAGATGTCAGGTTGCCCTTATCTTTTGATGAGGACATCTTAAGGGTACCAGAATGGACTTCCACAGTCAAAATCACCTCAAGAGTCAGTACTTGAAGCATCAAGTTGTCCTGACCTCTCAGAGAGTCCAAGTTTCCTTGAAGATTCATAATGAACGTCTCTGGGATTCTGAATTTATTCCAAGGTAAGACCTGAGGTCTGGGTTGGGCAGGATGCACTTGAAACTGAGTTGCTCTGGAGAATTACCGTTTCCTCAAGGTCTAGGTCACTTCGACAGGTCATGATGATCCCCTGTATGTCATGACGAAGGCTGAGTGAGGAAATCAGAGAGTAATTGAGAACTCTGATGTGTGGGGACTTAGCTGTGAGTGAAGCCACTCATTCATGGCTGAGTGAATTCAGGGGTGAACTTGGGTCAGGGAGAGGCCAGCAGGTATGGGAGCCAATGCCAGGAGTCACCTTGTAGAGCATGAAGGTCCTCAGGCTTCAGTGTGTCTTGGAGTGTCCTACTGTCCTAGGGTGTCAAGGTATCCAAGAGGACACAGTTGTGATTTTTCAGCCCCAGAGTTCCCTGGAAACAGGTCTTTTGAGTATCACTCACATGCCGAGATGTCAGGCCTTGTTCCTGGCCCCAATATCTTTCTCTCCATTACCCCTCCCTGGAGGGGAGGTTCTGAGGAGGGGTGCCTTGCTGGGAATGTCTTCTCCTCTGTCCCCTGCCTGCTCCCAGAAGGGGGATTTAACAGGACAAAAGAATCTGGTCCCCTGGGAATATGAGCTCTTGGCCTCAGCCCCTGGACCCTCTGACAGAGCACCGTCCCTCATCCGGCTTGTGATCCTCCCCCAAGCCAGGGGGCTCTGGTGACCAAGAAATGATTGGACAGGCCCATGGGGCCAGGAGGAGGTTGCTTCTCCAAGACGGAGGGAGAAAGACAGGTAGCGTGAGAAAGTGGAGGGCGAAGAGAAAACAGAACGGCCTCAGGGAGAGGGAAGTAGAGACAGGCAGAAAACTGGGCAAAGTCAAGAGAGAGAGGATAAGGTGTCAATCCGGAGGAAGGATGGGGCATTAGGAAAAAGGGGAAAACAGTGAGTGGACAGGTATCTAGCCACACACACACACACACACACACACACACACACACACACACACACACACACACGGTAAGGGAGAGACCCAGAAAAAGCTAGAAGATAGAGAAGAAAGGTCAGAAGACAAGATAGGATAGACAGACAGAGAGAAAGACTACAGACTACAGGGAAACAGAGACTGGAGGACAGCAGGCTAGCCCATCTTTGGTTTGGGTGGCTAGCCATGGAAGCTCAAAGAAGGAACCAGCAGGAGAAACAAAGGAAGGGTCGGGCCTGTGGCGGAGCGCTGCCTGAGCCGCATGTGACCTCTGGGTCCCTGATCTCCACAGTAGGTGAGTGAGTCCCCAGGGTTGGCTTGGGTCCCTGAGGGAGCAGCAGATGTGGGTCTCAAAACCTGATTGGCTTTGGGGCAATGGTTTGTCCCACGGAAGGTTGAGAGATGGGAAGCAGAACTGGGGCTTGTCAAGACCTTGGGGAACCTTAGGAAGTGAGACAGTAGAAGTCTTTTGCTTTACAGGTTGGGAAGTGGGGCCCCTGCCTGAGGGAGCTACAGAACAGGCGCCCAGGGCATAGGCGAAGCTAAAGCCTTGTTCTTGCCCAAGGTGCTTCCTTCTTGGAAGGAGGGAGCTGAAGGGGTCGGGGTTCTCCTCCAGAGAGGGCAGTTCAGGGCCTGTCTGAGGACACTGGGTGCTCAGTGGGAGCCACACCCTTGGTTCCCCCCCTCCCCGACACCCCCCGGGATGGGTCTCTCTGCTCCAGACCCCTCCTTCCCTTAGCGCCCATCTTCCCAGGTGTCTCCTCTTCCCTCCCTGTTCTCTCTTCCCCGGTGGCTCTTAGACTAATTAATATGAGGGCTTAGGGAGCCTTTGGGGAGGAGAGGCAAGCCTTTCCCACGAGCTCAAGTTCCTGCAGGCTGGTGGCAGGGCCAGGGCAGAGGTAAGCGGCATGTCAAGAAGTACAACCCAGAGGGGAGAACGTGTTGTCTGCATGTAAGGGGGGGGGGGGCACCCTTCATCCTCCTGAGCAGGGGTGGGTGAGGAGAAGGAGGGGTGTATGAAGGAGGTGCATGGGTGAGTGGCAAGCAAAGCAGTCCTTGGTAGACAGCAAAGGGAAGACCCTCAAGGTTCGCCCTGTGGGTCACATGTGGGCCGGAGGTGAAGCGCACACCGGGGGCACGTAACCAGAGCAGTGGCAGAGGCTGGAGGCAGAAGCGGCGGTTTTGAAACCTTAAAGAGCTTTCGTGGAAACAGGGCGTCCCACAAGGAAGCACCATCTCAGGAACTACACAGAACGCGGGGCCTAGCACCAGTCGTCCAAGGATGGCTGGGTGGTCCCATTCCTAAGTGGGTCTCCCTCCATTCCCCTCCCTCCACAGACACGAGCCCTGAGGCTTTTGGGAGACTCTCTGGTCCGGGGCTGGGGAGACCTAAGCTTTGCCCCCAGAGGGGCCGTCCCCACTCCCGGCGTCGTCACCGCACCACCTTCAACCCAGCACAGCTGGAACAGCTGGAGTCAGCCTTTGGGAAGAACCAGTACCCAGACATCTGGGCCCGAGAGGGACTTGCCCAAGACACTGGCCTCAGTGAAGCCAGAATCCAGGTGATGATGCCCTAAGGTACTCGGGGAAGAAACAAACATTTCCTGGGTGCTTGGGGGACTTTTAACCCGAAGTTAACTATTCAATAAAATATAGGTTCCACCCACCAGTCGGCATGACCTCAGGTGCACCTGACCCCAGCTCTAAGCTCATTCAGATGGAGGTGTAGGGCAGGAGGAGAGCTCTTGCCAAGCATACACAATGCCTGCATGCTGATCCCCAACGCCACACAAACAAAAAGGAAGTCCAGACCCACCCCGCCAGCCTTTCATGTGGACACAAACTCCAACAAACAGGCAACTCTAACTGTTCACACGCGTGTGCAATCTTGCCTCTAAGACTGCCTTACATTTCCACGAGCCTCATAGTCCTGAAGTCTCCCATTCAGGACAAGAGTGCTGATGTGACTTCTCTTCCCTCTCCTCAGGTCTGGTTCCAGAACCGCAGAGCTAAGGAACGGAAGCAAGAGCGGGCGCTGCTCCAGCCGCTAGCCCGTCTATCTCCCGCCTCCTTCTCTGGCTTCTTGCCAGAGTCCCCCGCTTATCCCTACCCCTACACAGCACCACCTCCCCCAGTGGCCTGCTTCCCTCACCCCTACAACCACACTCTCTCCTCCCCACCCTCCACAGGTGCCCCATTCACTCTCCCTCCCCAGCCTGAGGACTGGTACCCCACCTTACACCCAACCCCTGGTCATCTGCCCTGCCCCCCACCCCCACCCATGTTTCCCCTCAGCCTTGAGACACCAAAACCCTGGAACTAAGTGGTGACAAGGTCACCCTCTATCCATAAACTTCACGAAATGCAAGAAAATCGGGGCTCTCTTTTCATCCTAAGAGTGAAGTTGGAAATGTGGTGAGGGGCAGTTCAAGACTGGAAATGGGAAAAGGGGGGCTCTTGATGAACTGTCAACAGGGTAAGGGGTTAAGAGACTATGAGGAGGTTAACCGGTAGGAGAGACAAGCTGAACAGCTCCAACAGAGGTGACAGGAGGGCAGTGTTGATGGGACCAGTGGATGCTGTTGGCGAGGGATGATCAAAAGAGAACTTGAAGCTTCATTCATTGAGATCCCGGTAGGAGAACCTGAACGGAGGCTGAATTGACTCTGGTTGCTCTGAAACCATCTCCTGACTTCTTTTCCATTTCAGCAGGCATGCGGCTTGTGGTGTGGTGTGGGGTGTGTGTGTGTGTGTGTGTGTGTGTGTGTGTGTGTGAGACTTAGCCTCCTTCCTTTAAGTTTCCCTCTCTTAGTTTTTCTCGTCTCCAAAACACCTTTGCTAATCTGAACATCAAGGAATGCCTGAAGCAGAGCACATGGCTGTGACTAGCTTGGTCTGCAGGAGCCGCAGCATCTGCCTCAACCCAACTTTAAAATCAGCTGCAGGTTTAAACATTGTGACAAAGAAACCGCATGACCTGAGGCAAACTTGTCTGCAGACAAACCACCCGAGGCTCTTAAGAGGTCATTCCCAGGAAAGGATTTTTTTTTTTTTTTTTTTTTGGTACCTCGGTCTTAGCCCCTTCCCAAAGAAATACAATATAGCCTCACCTAGTTGGTGATACCATGTCTGTTTTGTGTAGCTTGGACTTGTTTCATTTGTAACTCACTATTGGTGGGATCATGGAAGGACATTTAGAAAACAGGCCTCCACAGATGGATAATCATGATGCTTGTATATTTGCTTATGTATCAGAAATGCCTGCAGTCAAAACTCCTATAGGATACATCTAGATGATTATCTCATTATGCCTGACAAACTTCAGGAAAGATTTTGAAGTTACATTCTAGATGCACAGTTCTGCAGCTGACACTTCAACAAGTTACAAATCAAAAATATTCTCAGCCAGATATAGTGGGTGGGGCTTATACTTTCAGTATTTGGGAGGGTCTCCAGTTGAAGGGCAGTCTGAACTAACTACACAGTGAGAGTTTCATGCCATGCTGGGACACATAGTGAGACCTTGTCTCAAAAACAAATCCAAAGATTCCAAAATAGTTACATGTGTTCTGAGTATGTACAGATTTTTATTGTCGGTATTAGCAATTTAGTCTAACAGCAGGGGTGTCCAACCTTTTGGTACTGGTGAGATGACGTATCTACAAACGTATTGGGAGGCTTTCCCAGCTGACTCTGGAGGCCCTTGGCCTGCAGGTTGGCTATGATAGAAATGCACATGAGGGGATCGCATAGATTATGCAAATAGTATGCAAATACTTGAGCATTCTTAGATCTGGGTCTCTGAGGAAGGGCCTAGAACCAATCCCACACAGATGATAAAGGATGGCTCCGCTGGTCCTGAGTCCATCAAAAATATTAGTCCAGTACATGGTCGATGGGTTTTTTTGTTTTTGTTTTTTACCATTTTTGGCAATTGAGAATGACATCACTTTTACTCATCTTTAAAGTTTCCTTTATTTCTAGTGAGAGCTAAAGGTTTTGAGCTTATTGGAAATTTACATTGTTTCCTCTCTCTGTAGCCTGAGTGTATCTGTGGGCTGATGTAGCCATTTTCCACTGGTTCCTGAGAATGCTGTGGATACTGCCTGTACCTGTGGAAACTCCTTTTGACTGTTCATTACTTGTTTTCTGCCTTTTTCACGGAGAGTCTCCTAAGAAAGCTAAACCCCAACTCCCTAGGCACCTGTCATATGTAATGACTTAACTTTTGTTTTAAATGTCTAGAATTGTGCCCATTTTGTAGAACTGGTAGAATTTAGAAAACAGTCGTTTGGTTCATTTTTTGTATTCCAGGCTTAATAGAAGAGCCCAGCTGATGAACTCGTGGCCTTTACTGGCTTCTCCAATGTTTTCTTCATCATTTGGATAAAAACATGATGCTTTGAATCCCCTGAAATTTACTATGTGTGGTAAAATAGTCCTGTGCATGCTTACCCTGGATCAGCTAGCGGGTCACTCCTGTATCATCTCTTTGATGGTGTAACTTTGCCCTATTGCTTTGTAAGGGTGTACATTTTTGTGCGCCAGGTTCTCATGTGTGTATAGGGACAGCTGCAGCCACCAAGTCCTTTCTCTGTTCCAGTACCAGAACCAGCGTGTTCAACAGCCGAAATGTGAGAATCCTGGGTAACTTTTAAAGGTCTTGTAACCAAACACAAGGTGTGTCCTGTCATTTCTTTCAGACTTCTATGTCTCTCAGCAAAGTTGATGTTTGGGTTAGACTTACTTTATTGAGCTGCTGCGGTCTCATTATTTGTCACAGGCAGGCCTTGAACTTGCTGTGCAGCCCAGACAGGCCTGGAACTCTCAGTCCCCTGTCTCAGCCCTCCCTCCCCAAGGCTGGGGTTATAAACGTGCACCAGCACATCTAGCCAAGAAAGTTCTTTTGCTTTTTACAAAAGACATGGTTTAAAGGTACTTTATAAATTATGTAGATACATATATCTGCTATTTGTAACCCAAATGGGGATTTTATATATTTTATATATGTGCGTGTATCTAAATTATAAAAGTCTCCTAGGGAGAAGTTTCTTTAAAAAAAAAAACTTCAATCTGTCATATCATTATATAGTTTTAAAACATGCAACTTTTATTTTAAAGTTAAAAATGATCATGGCATTGTTTGTTATAGTACATATACATTAAGGAAAATAATAAGACCACACAAGAAGAATAAGCTCAGGAAGGAGATTCAGGGTGTGTACACAGAGGTGCTTTGTTCTGTGTGGGATATCTGTCTGTGAATTTGTCCTAAACTTGAATATAAAAATAATTTATAGTAGTTTCCTGACTTAATGATCTTGCCCATTAACAACGCCAATCATCATAAGTAACTGTGCCCACAGTTTATTTATGATCACCAAAACTATGAGCATGCACACAGAAGTCTTTCCCTTTCTAGAAATAAGGTGAGGGCCATAGGTGCTAATTCCTTGTTGCCGTTTCAAGATTAATAATTCACAGACGACTTCCAAGTGGATTGCGTCCATCCTGTTTTTGTTGCTAACATGTGACCCCTCAGCCCTCCTTGAAACACACAGGAAGTGGAGTTGTTTTGGCATTTTGTTTTATTATTTGAGCAGCACAAATGTCGCTGTGGTTTATTGCTAAGGAATAATTTTTGATAAGAAGTAAAATGATGACTCTCTCAGATAGAAAATAAACAAAGTGATTTTCTTAAACTCAGGATTAAGCTGGCCATGATTAAGATGTTGAAGTAAATTCTGGGCCAAAGAAGACACTCACGAATAGGGAGAGTGACATGGTTATGTAGCCTGAAGCAGCACTGGTCTTTGGAAATGAGGAGAGTAGTCCACTGAAGCTCTAGGAGTACTATTTACACCTTGATATATGAGTTCATTTTTGCACCACTACACTTGCAGAGTGGTACAATAGCCCCCAAACTAAAGGCTTCAGAGACGCCGTGGAATCCAAATCCAACCACCAGAAAGATATTGAAGAACAATTTTGCATCAGAGCATTTCCCCCTGCATCCCCTCTTGTGCAGGAACTTTATGTGCATGCGATGGCTGTTCCATGAGAGGATCACTGTGTGCAACTAAAGTTGTAAGGCAGGAGAGGAAGAAAGGTGATGTAAGATAAAAACTGTATGCATACTCCTGACTCCTTTACCAAAAGCGTAGTTTAGGGCAGCTTCAGTTTCAGCAACAAAAGCAAAATAGTAGAATAAAGCTGGAACTATATATTTTCCTATATAGTTCAAATAAGTAACATGATGTATCTCACGGTCGTTAAAAAAAAGTAAGTCAAACCAAAAATAGTAGACAGAAGGAAATAATAAAGATCAGGGTGGAAATCAATTGAGTGGCTAATAAAAGAACACTCCAAAAAAAAAATCAATGAAACAATTGGTTCATTGGAAAAATAATTTAAAAACCATAAACCTTTAGACAAACTAACTAAAAGAAAGGGGAACAAGATCCAAACTAATGAGATTAGAGATAAAGAAAGGCTATTACAATGAATACCAATAAAATCCTCTGAGTCGTTAGGGAATATTTGAAAACCTTTTCCCAAAACCTGGAAAATGTAAAAGAGATGGGTAAGTTCCTAGACACACATGGCCTGCCAAAATTAAATCAAGAGACTCTAAACAATATAAACAGATCTATAATGAGCAACGAGATGGAGGATGCCATAGTCTCTTAATAAAGAGGCCGGGACTCAGTGTCAGAACCTACCTACCAGACCCTCAAAAAGAGAACTATGGAGTGAGGCAGAATCTCCGTGGGGTTTTAACTTGAATTTCCTTGATGCCTAATGATATTGAATGCTTACAAGTACTGATGAGCTTGTATATCTTCTGAGAATTCTGCCCCACTGGGAGAGAAGAAAGGAACTAGGGTGAGACAGAAAGAAGGCGTGAATAGGGTAGGGGGAGGAGCCAATAAGCAAAGTACAATCACATCTACGTATGAAAATGTCAAAATAAAACATTGTTTTTTATGCCACTAAAACATTTTAAAATAATAGTTAAAAGAGAATTATGGTAAAACGGTCTAGGGGTTGGGACATGGTTCGGGTTAAGAACACTTGCTACTCTTGCAGAGGACCCAGGTTTGGTTCCCAGCCCCCAGGTTCTGCAGCTTACATCAACCTACAACTCTAGCTGCAGGAGACCCAATACCTTTTTCTGGCCTCCTCAGGCAGCATGCACACACATACATGAATATAAACCTGGAAAAAACACTTTGAAAATAACTATTTTCAAAACAAACTTGCTGTTTTGGTTACAAGAACTAATTGTAAAATTTGTTGAATAAATGAACAGATAGATAAGATCCGGTGTGGAACCCAGAGGGTACCTGGAAACACAGGGTCGTCTTGAAGTAGGTGGGCAAGCCCAGCAGTCAGAGCAAATGCACTTCATCCGATGCCTAGTGCCCTGCATTCCCTTGAAATACAACATCCTTCAGGAAAAATGAAGAGAAAGTCCAGGTTAATCTCAATAAATAAACGAAGAGACAAATGTTATTTCAGCTTAGTGTACCTAGCTTTGCTCAAAATTTTAAAATGCTTTAGTTTTTTTTAAAGACTTTATTTTTATTTTATGAATTTTTGCAAGACCTTGGCCACCCCTAGAACAGAGCAGGGTGAAGACGGGGAGATTGGAGGATTTCCTTGCGTATGCTAAAGTGACCCACAAAATGTGTTGGGAGTGAGTCGGAGATTGAAGTCATCGGACAATGATTTTAAAGATATCCGCAACTGTCCAATTTGGGCGCGAAAATCCTGCCAAGGTGGTTTAGCCAGGATCCTCATTCTTCATAGCTGATCCCCCTAATTATCCTCTACTCCTCCAAATGACAGCTGATGCCCCTGACAAGAACGATGTCGGTCCCTTTGGCCAGCATCACCTCTTCCCCTTCCTGTTTCCCCTTAGTCATTTTCTGTCCTCTGATCCTCATTTTGCTCTTCCGTTATAAATTCCAGCCCTTCCATCCAGTGAGCTCAGCTCCGTCCACACTAGTCTCTTTTCTTCTGATGTGAAATACCTGGAATTAAATCTATTTCTCCCCCTTTACTTTCCAGTTCTAGTGTTCTTTGACAGAAGTCTTGTACATGCTAGGCAAGCTCTCTGGAGGTTACAGCTTAGCTGCACATCCTATTCTAATTGCCTAACTTAGAACTGCACTTTGTGCGGCAGATAAAGAAAATGGGCGGGGGATGCTAGACTCCGGCTTCCTTGGGTCTTCCGGGACAGAAAAAAAAAAAAAAAAGCACAAGGCTATGCAGTTATTCTTGGAGTTTTCAGGGGAGTCGGTTAACGGCTTCTGGTGGATAGTTCGCCCTGAGCATAGGCACTGCTGCGGGCGTCTTTGGTTCCTGTGGCTTCGCCTTGCAGCCCTGGGGCCTGAGGAGGGGTGTGGCCGGAGCTTCCACTTGGGACACTCACCAAGGGTTTTAAGGCCGCACTAAGGTCTACTGGACCTTGCCTGGAATTCCTCATGTTTCTGAAGTTTCCAGTGTACATCTGAGATTTCCCCGCCCCCCGCCCCAGGAATAATTTGTTTTGAAAATCCTAAATGCAACGAGTAAAAATAACAGTTGTAGCTGTCACCAGACTAGAGAGTCCAATGGGATTTTTCCCAACAGAGGGCTCTAAGGGTTGGAAGGCTTCAGTGAGAAGTGCTGTCCGAAGGCAGAGAAGGACCACAGGACAGCTTTTACTCACCACCCCTAAGTCTCCCGACAGGGACCTTTTTTTTTTTTTTTTTTTTTATTCTTGATATCAACTTTTCTTGAGGACTGCAGATACCACAAGGCTAATTTCCAGAAGAAAGCAGAGTTCTCTTCCTGGACAGGGGTACACAGACCTCAAGGATGTTTGCTCACAGGCTTTGGAAAAAAAAGGATGCTGTTGCTGCTGATGAAGGTGATCACACAGCTCTGGAAGGAGACACCCGAGAGTCCGGGTGGTACTAACAGTCCCTCCAACAACAAAGCGTCCTCTGTGACACCACCCAACTTGTGTGCCCATCACTTTATCCTGTGGTGCTTCCTGGACGTTTATCAATATTCTGAGGATAACCAGTCGTCCTCCATAAAACACAGAAATGATCCACAAAGCTTAATTGTGGAAGAGAGAAGAAAATACAGGACCCTGTAGTTTGAGGATGCTTGACTTGATGGAAACTTCCAGAACTAAAGAGGAAGAAGACCTCTTATTCTTGTGTAATGGGAGTGAGGAGGGCAGGTTGGAAATGTGCCTCCTCAACGCTCCCTTCCTCTTCAGTCTCCCGGGGAGGAGGTGTCACGGCTCGGAGCCCCTGTCTGTGGCTTTCACCTGCAGCGCGGGCTCCTGCTTCCGGCTCCTTCCTTCCTCTTTAGGCTCTTCACACTGCTCTCCCATGTTACAGAGAACCATCCAGTGGATGCTGGCAGTGAGCCCAGACTGACAGCTCCCTGTCACTCTCACTTTGGACCAGGGCTAATCAGGACAGGAATATGAAGGTGCTGCCTCGGGTCCCAGAGGACCAGAGGAAGAGCTGTGTCCCCTGCCTGCATGGGCCCATACTTTGTCTCCAGAATCACCTATAAGAGCCTCGAACTCCCCTCTATCTCGGGTCAATCCCCAAACTCAGGCCGGAACATCATGGGCACATGAACCAAGGGACTTCTCCTAACTGCAGCCCCAGGCTTGGAGGCAGAGGCAGCAAAGGGTAGGTGTCCTGGGAAAGACGTGTCTTCAGTTAACTGAAATGAAGCGCCATTGGAGAACCCACAGACGCCACTTACAGGGCACGGCCATTAATACAAGAACACCAAAGCGCAGACCTCCTCCATTTCCTTTTGCTCTCTGATTGCTTCTCCTTCTCTCGGGCTCCCAGGCAGAAGGAACGACCTGCTAATGAGAGCCCCCTCCCGTTGGCTTATGTTTGGGATGATGTGCTCTGGCCCACCTGCAGAATCTTCAGACTCTTCCGGGCTCTCCTCACCCACGTCACAGAGATCCAGAGGAAAGGCAGCACACAGAGTCACTCGCCCATCCTCGATACACGAGAAGCTACCCAGGCTCACAGGAAGTCAACCTCGTCTGCCCTCTGGTTTAGGACTTTTCTGAGAGCGTCCATGGTAAAGGTCAATACTTCATTCCTCCCCAACTTTCCTTCAGGCAGGAGCCTAGAATCAGGGTTCTCTAGCCTGAAGTCAGTGAGTTATTTCCTCAGGAAGTGAGTGGTTTCAGAATGCATACCACTCCCCCAGCAGAGTGGAGGACCTCTGTGTCTTAAGTCCATTTAGACTGGCAAACACACAGTGCTTAATTCAAGTGGCAGGGGATGCCTCTGCCATGCAGTTTATTTTCAAGGACTTATTTGTGGGGTGGGTGTGCGTGTGTGTATATACAATTGCACTCACATGTACGTAGGTGCAGAGGCTAGAAGAGGGTGTTGGGTGTCTTCCTCCGATACTCTCTGCCTAGACCTTTAAGGCAAAGCAAGTCACAGTGATCCTCCTGTCTCTGCCACACTCAGAGCTGGGGTTTCAGCCTTTCAGGGTTACACAGCTTCTTATGTAGGTGCTATGATGGAAACACTGGTCCTTGTGAGTGGCATCGAGTGTTCTTAGCAACTGAGCCATCACCCCAGCCCGCCCTTTTTTTCCCTTTTGAGAGAGGGGTTCTTGTCTACACTCCACGTAGCTGGGGACAAGCCTCTACACTCTTCTCCCAAGTGCTGAAATTACCGGTGTGTGCCACCACACCCAGTGTGTGCAGTGCTGGGGACTCGAACCCAGAGCCCTGTGCATGCTACTAACTGAGCTACACCCCCAGCCTTGCCATATGGTTTATAATGGGTGTGTGGACCTTGCCCTAGAGAGCCAAGTACCAGGTAGTAGAAGTTTCCCCTTCAACACTAACCAACCAATGAAATTACGTCTTTTGGGAATAACGTACAAGGTCAGATTTTCTTAAATTTTGTTGAAAACTAGCCTCCATTTCTCTGTAAGACATGGGAAGATGATGCCACAGTTAACTGCAGTTGACTTGACACCACAGAGTCGCCTAGGAAAAGGGAACCTCACCTGAAAGCAGCCTTGACTAGGCTAGCCTGAGGCAATGTCTGTGAGGCATTTTCCTGATTGTTAATTTGATGGAGGAGGGCCCAGCCCACTGTGGGTGGCACTATTCCTAAGCAGGTGGTCTTGAGTGATATAAGAAAGCTGAGGGAGGGGGGCTTCTCCTGCTTTGAGTTCCTGCCTTGTCTTGCCTCCATTATTGACGATACTTTGTAAACTGGAATAAACCCTTCCCCCCAAATGTTTGTGCTGGTCAGTGTTTTTATCACAGCAACAAGAAACCAAATTAGGACAAATGATCTTATGTTGTCCAGTGACAGGCCACACACCAGTCCCTCAAGGGATCGAACAGGCTGTCAGGGAGCTCTAGCTAGTTTCAGAGGTTTTTTTGGTCGGGGTGGGGGGTGTGGGGGCCCTCAGCAGGATCTAAGAGGCTCTCAGTGGAACAAGGATATGACAGGATCCTAGATATTAGCTTCAGCTCTGTCAACTTGGCACAGCCTAGAGCCATCCAAGGGAGTCTCAATTAAAGAATTGCCCAGACCAGACTCATCTGCGGCCCTGTCTGTGAGAGATGGTCTTGATAGGTGATTGATGTGGGATGGCCCAGCCTATCACTGACCACAACATCCTGGGCTATATAAGAAAGCTAGATGAGCATGAACCAGTGAATGAGGCAGAGCCAAGTAAGCGATAGGAATGTAGAGACAACAATCTTATCAGCCCAAGAGTGGCCCAGGGGTAACTGGAGTGAAGAAGGCATACAGTTTCCTAACCTGACTAGCCAGGACACTTGCAGCTAACACTCAAGAGTTCTCCTTTCTGGTCCAGGAGCAAGCAAGCAACCACAGAAGATCCCAGGAATCAAGAGGCCCTGGCATCCAAAAAGGAGCAAGGCAGCACTGCCCTCTGGTGGTCACTATGCAGCACTGCACCAGTGAACACCAAAGTGCTTCACTTAGACATTTATTGAGAAATCTAATAAGGGCCGTGCAACAGGCCAAGTGGAGAACAAACACCTATACTTTAACAACAACAACAACAAACTGCATTCAACAAGATGTTATTGATACATAAAACATCATGACAACGTTATCATTGCTATGATGGAACCAATCACTGTAGAGGGAGCGACTCTGGAATTCACTGTGGGCTGGGAGACCAGGGAAGAAGCCATGAAAATATGATAGCGGCAGATCTGAGTCAGCCTTGGGAACAGACAACATGTACAACGATTCCTGAGGAAGGAGTCATATAGACCTGGCCTCTCTAACAGACCTCACAGTGGGATCTGAGGACTTGGGATAGGACATCCCAATTCCTATCACCTCAAATTCTCCATTGTGTGACTTTTCCCTGAGATGTGTAAACCAGTGTCTGCTCACTCAATACAGGGCACTGATGACTGACCAGAGAAATAATTAACTTCCTGAATCTTAGGAAACTTCCTGCATCTTAAGGAACTGCCTCCTCCCTCTGAAGGAGGAACACAGCATTCTAGCCTTTACTCCTCCTGCTCTTAAAATTCTTTCTGCCCCCTCTTCCATGAAGCCCTCCAAGCACTGAAGAAGGTATACAGAGGTCTGATTATTTTTCTCCACCTATGACTGAGCTTCGGGCCACTATGTCACATCCATCACTTGGAACTTGACTAGGTTATGAGTCTCTGCAGTCTACCACCCACTACAAAAAGGCTTCGCTCCAGGACTGAAATGGACAACAGTAATAATGTATGGGCATAAACACACATATTTAGAAGGTAAATTGACAGGCACATCCCATTCACTTAACAAAACAATAGCTGTTGCTTCCCCATCGGGGTCTATGACCTCCTTAGCCATGGGCGTTTGCACTGGCTTACAGTACCAGAACTGAATGAGCTTCTAGGGGGTGGGCCTTAACCCAAACAGAAAGCCATTAGGTGCACCAGTGACGGTAATGCCACTATTTCATGAGCAGGTAAATTTTGCCTGGTGTATTGGTAGTGCAATAAGAATGGTCCATAACCAAGCAGGACTCTCCATGACAATTATCCCTGAGAGCCTTGCACAATGTCTTCTAGAGCTATGTCTAGAGCATGATGTCTTCTAAACTATGTCTAGAGCATGATGTCTTCTAAGCTATGTTTAGAGCATGAAGTCTTCTAAGCTATGTCTAGAGCATGATGTCTTCTAAGCTATGTCTAGAGCATGAGTGCTGTGGGATGGTCTGTATGTCACATTGCTCTGATTGGTAAATAAATAAAACGCTGATTGGCCAGTGGCCAGGCAGGAAGTATAGGCGGGACTAACAGAGAGGAGAATTGAGAGAACAGGAAGGCAGAGGGAGACACTGCCAGCCGCTGCCATGACAAGCAGCATGTGAAGATGCTGGCAAGCCATGAGCCACGTGGCAAGGTATCGATTTATGGAAATGGATTAATTTAAGCTATAAGAACAGTTAGCAAGAAGCCTGCCACGGCCATACAGTTTGTAAGCAATATAAGTCTCTGTGTTTACTTG